GAGTTTATCTAATAATTTCACCTAGGAACAACTGCTCTTTTTTACTTTTAAAATATGTTTTGAACACACTTCTCCTTATGCCTTTTTCTCCCCCCTTCCTCACCTTCCTGTCCTCCTGTTAGTCCCCTCCCTCTCTCCCCCAGACACTTTTCACTTGCAAGTTTTATATATAACTATGATTTTATATATAACTATGGTGTGTGTGTGTGTGTGTGTGTGTGTGTGTGTCTGTGTGTGTGTGTCTGTGTGTCTGTGTGTCTGTGTGTGTCTGTGTCCGTGTGTGTATGAGTGACTGAGCAGTTTCCTCATGTGTGTCCACCCATTTTCCTTATTCATTCTTTTGTTACTGGACACCTGTTAGTTCTAAAATTTAGCATCTCTAAATAGTGCTGTAACATTCAGGAGTGGTTTAGTTGTGTTATATGGACTATGAATTGTTAGGCTTGTTTAATTAAAAATTTTAAACTATGTATCTCTGTCTGTGTGTAGGTGTGTGTGTGTGTGAATGCAATGCCCACAGACGTCAGAAGAGGGCGCTGGATTCCCTGAAGCTGGTTAGTGGAAGTTGTGAGTGACTAATGCATGAGTTCATGGCTGTAGAGGCAGCTCTCCAGTCCCCATCACTGGTTTCTGAGGAACCTCCACACTGGTTTCCAAGGTGACTGGACAGCTACTTTGTTCCTGCTCATCCTAATGATGCTTGTATGATCTCACAGCACACACAGGCTTTAACATTCACTGACTTTGCACCCATTGTTTATGGCCCATCTGGGTTCGGCACTGCTCACACGCTGTTGAGCCTCTTGAGTGTTCACAAGTCCCCTCCTTCAGTCTGCACTCACAGATGCCCTTCACTCCCGTCACGAGCTCTCCTGTTTCTCCACCCTCTTCCAACCTGCCCGCACACCCACACACCTCCAACTCCGTCCCTCGGCTCAGAATGGACATTCCTCCCTGAGCCCTCCTCCCATTTTCCTCCCCACTTCGCATTTCCGCTGTTAAAACTTGACCCCATCCACACCCCCAGGTCATGAGAATCTTTCCATTCCAAACATTCATAGCCCTTACAACAGACAGCCTACTGCAGTCTGAATGAGTTTCCCAAAGTTCATGAACTAGAAACCTGATCCCGAGGCAACCGAGTTGAGAAGAGGGACCTTGGCGAATTAATAAGGTCATGGGGCTTTGCCATTATGAATTAATGCTGTTTTGTTACAAAAGTGAGTTCGGCCCTCCTTTGCACACATTCACAGCCATTCTTCTCACCATGAGACGCCATCTGCGCCATGTTACGATGCTGTAGAAGACCCTCACCAGAGGTGGCTCCTCTTTCTTAGTCTTCCCATCTTCCAGAACCATAAGCCAAACACACTTCTCTGGTGTGTAAATTACTCAGGCCATGGTATTCTGTTATAGCTACACAAAACAGGCCAAGACAGCCAACCATCCAAATAATACTGGCCCTACAGACCCTGATTCAGCCTCTATGGATCATTTTACACTTTGCTTTTTATATTTCTCAGGAAGGTGACATTCTTTGAATAGTAAATCAGATGGAAAGAAATCTTTGATTTTTTTAAATTATGACACCGATTGGCACAGCCTCCCTCTCCCTGCAAACGGGAGCAATGCCTTTTCTATGGATTCCAGCAGTCTCAGCACAGGACAGACAGACAGCAAATATCTGCAGGGAGGACTGGGGACCTGTAAAGGGAAGAAGCCACAAAGCCACTTTTTGGAAGATACAATGACCTAAGGGGATATAAATTAAGTCATTGGACTGAAACTAGGTTAAAAATTAAAATAAGAACACTTGTTGCTCTTCCATAGGATTCAGGTTCAATTTCCAGCACCCACTTAGTTGCTCATAACCATCTGTAACTCCAGTTCCAGGGTATCTGATGCCCTCTTCTAGCCTCCCTGGGTACCAGGCATCCACAAAGTTCACAGATAAACATGCATCCAAACACCCATACACATAAAATAAAAGAACAATCTTAAAATATCTAACAAAACAGTAAGGGTGTGGCTTTGCAGTGTTACTCTGTGCAATGAGTTACTGTGCACTGACTATCACTAATGTAGCTGATAATTTGAAAATAGGAAGCACTAATCAATTTAAATTCTTAAATTCATGTTATTTTGAGCAGTTACGTTTTCCCACTTTGAAAGAAGAAATGCAGCTCTCCAGTACAGTGGGAGACACGGTACCCACTTTCTACTGCAGTGGAGTAGCTGAAATCACAGTACAGTCACAGGCCCCTGGACTACATTAGTCCCCGACTTGCAACAGTTGGACTTGATGATGTTTTAACTTTGAGACTGTGTAAAAGCACACGTATGCAAACATTCCATTTTTCACTTTTCAAAACTCAATAAAAAAAAATCACCTTGGTCAGATGATTTTACCCACTGTAGACTAATGTAAGTGTTCTGAACATATCTGAGGCAGGACCGGCTAAGTTACAGTGCTGAGCAGGCTAGGTTTGTCAAAGAAGTTTTGGCTTATGACATTTTTAGCTTTTAATGGATTTATTCCAACAAAGGCCACTTGAGTCAGTGAGCACCTGTACTCTGTGTGGCCCTAGACATAGGGAAAGATGTTTCTGTCCAGTGCACTCAGGATGACATCACCGTTAGCACTGGCTCCTTTCAGTGTTCAGCAGTTTCTCCCATATATGCATCTAGTGCACTCCTACAATGTGCTCCCTGCTGCTCTGGCCAGGTCATGATCTTCCCATAGACCAAGAGGGTAAGCATCAGGAAGGTTCTCATTTTACAAGTGGGAGCTTTGCTCAAGGGGACTAATATCCCAACCCTGTTGCAGTTAGCAAACTTCGGACTTAGTTTTAGATCTTGGAGGGTATTGACACTCAAGTCCATGAACTTTCTAATTCTTCAGGCTGCCTCTCAAGACTTGGCATTTATTTTATAGACTCATGACTGAACTAACAGTTGCAGTTTTGAAAGACACAACTGAACTACCATGGCCATGCAGGGGCATAAACACTGAAATTCAAAGTTGATGTGACCTAAGTGCTGGAAGGGAATGTTTTAGAAGTGAAACCTGAGATCTTTCATAGTTTCTTTTGATGCTCTAAAACTCCTTTTGTCTTCTAGATATATATTACATAGTCATCCGGTTGAACCTCCAGTCCTTTGCAACTCAAGTACATAATGGCAAGACAGCCATGGGAACCATCTACAACCTTCTCTATTGGGCTGGGCAGTCACTGCTCAAGTGAGTGGTTGCTGGCTAAATCTGATGAGCATGTTCATTGTGCCAATATTGTCAAAACCTGATGATGAATAAGTCAATCCACAAAATGGCATGTGCAATGATCCAAGACTAAGTACAGGATAATGACAGAGTATACAAACAGAGAGAAGATAGCAGGCTGCTCAGGACCTGCATATCTCTTCAGTTACCAAGGCCTTTTGTGATCATAACTGGATCCCATCACTCACCCAGGAAACCCAGGCTAAGAGGCTTGTAATTGGCTGTAGTCTCAGCCACTGTGTTACATAGAAGCTGATAAAAGTTGTTCTTGAAGGATTATGACTCTGTAAAGGACACTAACTGCCATGAGACTCTTACACCCTAAGTCATCAATGCAATACTCTCCCCTAACTCACAACTGTTCAAGTTACTCATCGATAAATGTAAAAAAAAAAAAAAAAAAAAGAAAGAAAGAAAGAAAGAAAGAAAGAAAAAAGAAAAACAACAAAAATCTTACATTGTGCCCAAGGCAGAGTATCATTTTCAACGTTGGCTAAGTAATGTGCCACTTGGACTAATACAGCGATGATTTGTCATTCTTAATTATTTGAGAAAACTAAACAGATCTAATAGCCAAAAGATTCGGGTAGAGGCCAAGGCATCAGTGCTCATCTTAAAGCTTCCCTTATCTTCTTCCATCTGTTTGTGGTTCTGGGGATTGAGTCCATGCCTCACACATGCTAGGCAAGCACTCTATCACTGAGCTCCATTCTCAGCTCCTCTTCTCATCCCTTTTAATAGGTGGGGATTCTGCATGTTGACAGACACATTGGGTCCAATTGCAATACCTTTCTCCCAGGAAAGTTTAGTTATCTTGGGAGTGCCATAACAGTCACAGATACATGCAAATCAGCACCAAGAAGTGCTGTCTGATGGCAGTCACCCTCCCACAGAACCGTTATATATGGGCATGAGTGGAGGTTGGCCACCTTGCTTGGCCTAAGTAGGACACCATAGAAAGGCCTCCCAGCCCTCAGGTCCACTATAGAGTGGTCAGGAGAGGTGAGGCTGTCGTGAACTCTCCCTTCCCACAAAGCATCTCCTGACCATCCTTTTCTAACATGTTAGACTGAGTGAGAGGAAGGCCACAGTGCTCACATCAGCCACAGCACAGCCCAGCATTCTCAGTCAGCAAACCTGCTCAGGGACCACCCAACAACTGGAGTTTCAGCCAGAAAGTGCAAGGGGAAGAGACATTCCAGGTGTTTTGGTTTTTGGTTTTTGGTTTTTTTTTAAGAAAAACATACATAAGGAAAGAAGGAGGAGGGGGAGAAGAAGGAGGAGGAGACAATGCACAAAGCCATGAGGCTGGCTGGTCAACCATGGGTTAAGATCAGATTCAGAGAAGCACACAGTAACTCAATGCGTCTGCAATTCCCTGAGCCCCAGGGTGAAAGGCATTTTTATTTGTGGAAACAGAATGGTTCCTTCTCTCACCATCGACTCTCTCTTCTCTCATTTCTTTATTTTTGGTCTATCTAACACCCAAATTTGGACCATCCATCATTTTAACCTGCCCAGAATTTTCATCTTTCCATAGCCAAAGAGCAACAAATACCGGGTCCAAAGAGCCCGCTCCCACAGCCAACTGCCACCAGCCCTCTTCTCCCAGGGTTACAGGGTGCTCAGAGCAGACGATGTCAGCAGGACGTGCCACACACAGCAAATCACCAAACCAGAATTCATTAAAGGGGTTGGGGGAGGGGGGTGGGGGACTTACTCGTACTTGTGCTGGTTCCAATCGTGTTGATTGTGTTGGGGACAGATGAAGAAGAGTAGAGGGGAACATGGCCATTCTCACACCCCAGGCTTTTGTCCTGCCAGTTGGAGGCGCTGATGCAAATGCCAGAATCCCGAGAGTTCTGCCACCCATTGAGTTTGTCGTCTGAGTTCTGTCTTTGGTGATAGTAGTGCGTCTGTCCATAATCCACAGAGTCCGAGCGACCTCGGCTCTGGCTGCCAAAGCTAGTCGATGTACGGTCCTCCAAATGATTGAGCCACATGGCGAGAGCACTTCGGTCTTCTAAGGAAGTGGCCGGGTGGATCAAAGCATAGGACAGCAGCTGTCTGCTCTCCTCAATGTGCTGGTTGTGTTCGATAGAGTGCGCCAGGATCTTGGGCAGCAGTTTCATATACTCTACTTTTGCGTCGAGGTTTCCTGGCTTCAGCAAAGGCAGGTGAGTTAACAGAAGGGAAATCACTTTATCCTTGGATTCCTGTTGCCATTGGTTAATGATTCCTGAAAGGGAAAGTACACAGGACACATGAGCAAATACACCCACAATCACACTAAACACCACACTCTAAATTTCTGTGGCTTAGAGTCCTAATTTAGGCACCCTGCCTAAATGTTCTCAAAACTGCCTGTATATGGTATTGGTTAACTGCCTTAAGGTTTCTGGAGGCCAAGGACTTCTTCAATGAGATAAAAAACCAAAAATTCTTAGGGTATGCAGAAAGTAGAGCTGTGCCTAGCACTCATGAGCCCTAGACTTGATCCTTTGCGCTGGGTATAGTGGTGAACACCTGTAACCTAGCTTTTAGAAGGTGGAGGCAGGAGGATCAGAAGCTCAACGCCATCTACTGCTGCATAGGAAGTTAGAGACAGCAGGGACTACATGAGACCTTGTCTCAAAACATTAAATTCTTGGGGCTTCTTTCAAGAGGACCTGGATTTAATTTCCAGCACCCACAAGGTGGCTCACAACTGACAGTAACTCCAGTTCCAGGGCATCTGATGCCCTCTTCTGGCTTCCTCAGGCACTTTACACACACATGGTACACAGACATACGTGCAAACACATATACACAAAATAGAAATAAATATAATTTCCATTTTTTTTAAAAAAAAAAGGTTTAAGAACTCATCAAATGCTTAGATGTTTGGGGTCTCTAATTCTCATTCATGTCTCCAAAGAGATGACAGCTGCTTTGGTCCAACCATGAGAATTGGCAGCCATGTCTTCCTTCTTAGATAAAACTAGGCATGACTCTAGATGGCCAAGGGACAGGGCTAAGCAAATTTCTATCAACTGAGGGCCCACATGCAGGAATTCATGGAGTGAAGTTATCTCCTCACTCCAGACATCTGTTGAAAGTCTTAAGTGCTGGAGAAGGGATGTGTGTGAAACTGGTTCAACTTCCTACACAGAAGAACGTGTCAGGAGAAAAGGACCCTGCTGCAGCTTTCTTATAAGAAAATAACTCAGAGCAACAGAGCTGAAGCTTAGCTCCAGGAACACCTTGGATCACACAAGTAGGTTATTTATCTTTATATGAAGATGTTTGTGTTTTTTTTAATGTTTTCTTTTTATTTAAAATTTGCATTGGTACTGGTACGTGAGTGTAGCGTATGTAGTCATGCATGTGCTCATGTGTGTGAAGGACAGCAGACGATATTGGATGCTATCCCAAGGAACACCTTTAAGACAAGGTTTCCCCAGAACTTAACAACTGGGCTAGGCTGGCTGCTCAGTGAGCCCCAGGGATCCTCCTATCTCTGCCTTACCAGGGCCAGAATTATAAGTGTGCACCACAATGTCTGGCATTTTTACCTGGGTTCTTGAGATTGAACTCAGGTCTTCAAACTTACAAGCAAGCACTTTACCAACTGAGCTATCTGCCAGACCCCAAAAACCCGGTTACTCTAAGTACTTCAGACAAGTGGGACCTCAGTTTGTCTTTTTGATTTTTGAGATAGGGTATCTCACTCTGAAGCCCAGGCTTGCCTTAAACTCATGGGTGGCTCTCAGTCTCTCTTTCCTCAGTGCTGGGATGGCAGACATGAACCACCCTGCCCACTTATCCCATCAAATGAATGATTTCCTCAAGGTTCATGCATGTGAAGAACTAATCTTTAACACTTTCTTCCCTGTCTCACTCAAATGGCAAATGATGCATGTTGCCTGCTTGTTTTGGAAGCAGTTATCCACAGAGCTGGGCATCCCCACTGGCTTTCACACAGTGTCTTCAGGTCGGAAGGAGTTAATTATAAGCTACAGACTCATTGGCATGCACTAAAGCCTCACAATACTTTCAAAGACAATGTTGTGGCTTCATCTAGAGTCCCCCAAACGTCCTATGTTAAAGACTTGGTCCCTAGTTTGGAGATGCTCAAAACGGAGTCACTAGGGGGGTTTCTGGTCACTTTACGGTATGCCACTGAAATGGATAGTAGAGTCCTACCTCATCTTGCTTTCTTTTTGCTTCTCAGCTGTCATGAGGTAGTTTCCTTCACCAGCCATTATGGATTAGAGTCTTCCAAACAGAGCATCAGAATAACCCCTTCCTCTTTTTAAATGGATTTGCTCTTTGATATTGTGTTACAGTAACAGAAAGTTAACCAACCAATCAACATGGCAGGCATGGTGTCTAATGAACAGGCATGGTCTTCAGAGTCAGTCATGGGAGTTAATTCCAGACCTGCCACTTAATTTGTAGGAGAATTTTGTTACATTGCTTAACCTTTCTGAGCCTTTATTGCCCCATCAGTCATGGGTGGTATCAATGGTGTGTCTTCCTTGGATTGAATGGAATGAAGTATCAAAAGGACTGGCTGAGTACCCAATGGACGAAACGATCCCTTCCCTTTTCTTTGTATCCATCAGACCCATCAGTCAGAGTGATGAGGTAAGTGGCTTGAGACATTTCGTATTTTAAATAAATAGAGAGACCAGGGAGGACACAAGGGAAGCCATTAAAAATATCACCAAGTTGGAAAAAAGAGTGAAAGGGGGGAGGAAAATGGAATCACTGTCCTTCTAACAATAAGAAGTGATATTGGACTCTCTTCATGAGAGGGTTTCCTGTGATGCTGAAGAGTCACAGTGTAAGGCAGAAGCCACCATCCTGAAGGGAGACTACAGAGAAAAACAGATAGCCAGGGGAGTCCTGGTTGAAGGTTATAGAATCCTTGCTAGGGGGGAGGCACATCGGAATCCTATCAGGGTTGTGTGAGCAGGCAGCACAGTATCATAGTAAGATAATAGCCACATATAGAGCCTGAAACTATGGTAGTCAAATTACAGATGACCAACTAGCTATTTGATCTAACCCAACACAAAAATATCAGTTCAACATGTAATCAATGCAGATCATTGGGGAGACATTTGCCCTCTTTGGACTAAATTAAATCTTTGAAATCCAGGATATATGTTATCATGGACAACATCTCCATTTGAGTGATTCCATGTTTAGGAACTGGTCCAGCTAGAAAGTGGACCAGCACAGTCCAGAGATAGTCAGGTGGAGAAAGGCAGGAAGTAGATGACCTCAGGAGGTCCTTGCTAACTCTCTATTTAGCTAATTGTCACCAGATATGAGAACTTTACATGTCACACTGGGTGGAGCCTGTCTATTAAAGCGTGTCTGGAAGATGAATAAAATTCATCTTAACACCTCTACCTACCCATCCTTTGTCAGCAAAGACCAGTCACCATTTTCTGGTTTTTATTGAAGTTTTTGATATTTTTTGTTCATTTGTTTTGAGACCAAGTGTAGGGGCTACTAGGAGGCGGGGCTACAGTGTCTCCCTACAACCAAGTCTCATTATTTCTGTTCATTCTGGCCTCCAATTCACAGAAACCCTTCTGCTCCAGCCTCTCAAGTGCTGGGATGATAGACATGAGCCGTGAGGCTGGCACGCTTTACATCGTGGCTAATTTAGAAGAAAAAGAAATCTAGTCAGTCTCTACAAGGGTCTCAAGAGTCATAGGAAGGAATCAAAAAGCCCCAGAGTAAGAACAGAAGTGTTACAAGCCGACAGTGAGCAGGGTCAGGCAGGGTGCACATATATGTTCACTCAAAGTTTGGGAGCAACTTCTAATAAAAATGAATGAAGCTAAAGAACTTCTTAGCTTCCTCCTAGGCCACTTTCCTAGGCCTAGGAAATATTCTGCTCTCCCACAAAAGGTCGATCTTTAAAAAAAAAAAGTCGGGAACAAAAATAAAACATAAGTAGGACTCAGAGTGCAACTGAAACACATTATCTATCTCCAGCAACCACTTTCTGTCAAGGATTAACCCAGGACTCAGAGGGAGGAGGCACAGCAGGGAAGGGAAATGAGGTTTCCATCCCTGGTCCTTTCCAGGGCTGAACTAGCACTATTCTTATGAACAGACCTCTAATGGTTTGAGGTTGCAGCGTGGCCAGGAAGACAATCATGGGTTTTGCTTATCTCCCCCCCCCCCCCCCCCCGACTTCTCCCACCGGGAACTTGGCTATAAGGCAGTGTTCTGAGAGTAACCACACCTACTGGCTCAGACTTCTATTGCTATAGCTGTCACGCTGACAGCTAACAGTATTGAGTGGTTTCTGTGGGCCAGGCTCTCTTGTAAACCCTGTGCATTTAATTACTCGTTGAATCCTCTCAAGGAGCTTAGCCAGAGGGGGCAGGGTGGCAGATCTTATAACTAGCCTTATTTTACTGATGAAGACAGAGACATAGGCAGAGCAACTGAGTTGTCATCATTTCCCTGCCTGGTGAAAAGGCAGAAGGGAGGTAGACAAATTAGCTTAAGATACAGATGGTTATCACACTAGAATGGCCATAAGCCATTTGTGCTGTAGTCATTATATCGACTGTGTATAAATAAATATGTATCTATAGTAACGAAGCTGTGCAAACGTAGGAAAAAGAGCTATAGAGACAATGAAGAGGATACTTTTTGTGGTGTTAGGATGCTCCCAGTTTCTTTTGGCGATTGTCTTTGGAAGGGAACCACATCCTCTTTTTTGAGGTGGGGGAGTTGTGGTTTAGTCAGTCACATACAGCTGATAGTGTGTGGTTGGAGAGGGCAATGTGCAGCTTCAGAGATTCCCCAAGGATGTCTTAGGGTTATTATTGCTGTGATGAAATCCATGACCAGAAGCAACTTGAGGAGGAAAGGACTTATTGGTTTATACTGCCAATCATTGCTCAACATTTAAGGAAATCAGGACAGGAACTTCCCCAAGGCAGGAACCTGGAGGCAGGAGCTGATGCAGAGGCCTTGGAGGGACACTGCTTACTAGCTTGATTTTTGTTTGTTTGAGACAGGATTTCTCTGTGTAGCCTTGGCAGTCCCTGAAACTCACTCTGTAGACTAGGGTGGTCTTGAACTCAGAGATCTGCTAGTCTCTGCTTCCCAAATGCTGGGATTAAAAACTGGGCCCTCCCCCATCAATAACAAATTAAGAAAATGCCCTACAGGCTTGACCATAGTTGGATCTCATGAGGCATTTTGCAATGGTTTTTTGTT